GAAGAGAAGAAAAGAAGAAGAAAGAAGAAAGAAGAAGAAGAAAGAAGGAAGAAGAAGAAGAAGAAGAAGAAGAAGAAGAAGAGAGAAGGAAGAAGAAGAAGAAGAAGAAGAAGAAGAAGAAGAAGAAGAAGAAGAAGAAGAAGAAGAAGAAGAAGAAGAAGAAGAAGAAGAAGAAGAAGAAGAAGAAGAAGAAGAAGGAGGAGAAGAAGAAGAAGAAGAAGAAAAACAAAAATTAAATGACTTTATAGGACACTGAATATAGCGAGGGGACAAAACCTCCACATTTCAATAGAGCTTAAAATAGGTACACTGACGTCAAATACACACACACACACCCCCCCCCCTCAAAATTGACAAATTGGTGTTACGCTTACGCTGGTTACATCAAAACAATTTACGATTTACTCAAAAGATAGATTATTTTCTTCCTATCGTTCGTTCTCTTACAAGTAAGTTCTTATTCCCTCTTTCGCTCTTTCCCTCTTTTATCCGTTATTTTCGCTTTCACAGTTGGTTTCTGATGTTAAATTTGTTCTTGAGAAACAGGGACGATTTTCTCCAATAAAGGTAGATTATTTTCTTCCTATCGTTCGTTCTCTTACAAGTAAATCTTATTACCTCTTTCCCTCTTCCTCTTTCCTCCGTTTACCTCTTTCTCTTTCTCTCTTCCTCCGCTATTTCGTTTTTTTTTCACTGTTGGATTCTGACGTTAAATTTATGATTATTTATCATTATCATTGATATTATCTTGTATTCGTTAAATCGCTAGGCTATTTATTATCTCATGTTATTATATGTTATGTTGTATTTTATCATGTGTTATGTTAAGTATATGTTATTCTCTCCGTATTTCGCAGAGAATTATCATTATTATCATCAGCATTATTATATTATTATATCATTTTATTATCATTATCATTATTATCATCAGCATTATCATTATTATCATATTTATTATCATTATTATCATCATTATTACTATTAGCATCAGCATCATCAACATCATCATTATTATTATCATTATTATCATTATCATTAGTAGCAATATTATCATTATTATTATTATATCATCATTAGTATTATTAATTATCATATCACTATCATTGTTATTATTATCATTAGTAGCAATATTATCATTATTATTATTATATTATTATCATCATCAGTATTGTTATCATTATCATCATCATTATCATTATTGTTGTTATTATCATTATTATTATAAACTATTTTTTCATTTATGCTGCTACACAACAGGTATTTAACATCTTTGTGATTTCATTTAGGCCTCTTTGCTGAAGGGAAGTTCAAAGTGTTCAACATTTTCACGAGCTTTCAAATCGCACGCTAAGGGTGGGTGTGGGGGGGGGTAGGGGGGGGGGGGGGGTGGTGAAACCCGCTCGCACACTTTTTAAATTATATGAAAACTTTTGTGTCAGATCATATCGAGTCCTCAGTATTTGTTTGTAAATACCACTTCCCTGATTCAGCCAAGATGTAATGATCTTGTGTATTCTTAATTTATAAACGGTCAAATTAAATAATTCATGTTGAAAGTTAAGTATATTTAATAGTATGAAATAATTCTCAGGCTTACGTGGTTCTGGTCCTTGTCGCAATTAAGAAAAATAATCCTGATAATGAAAATAACCTCTAATTAATGAAAATGATCCCCTATCGAATTTTTAAGGGGGTAGCATGACATCTCAGAACTACCCTGAAAATAACCCCTAATTTTGAAAATAATCCTCGAATCAATTTTTTTTTAAGGAGGTAGCATGACACCTCAGGAAAATTTTCAAAGGACTACCCTGTCTGCCTCTAGGGTACGTTTGGCACCAACAGCTTCAGGTGTACAGTTTTAGGGAAGCAGAAAAAAGTGCTCTTTGTACACTTATGAAGATGTTGAACCAACCCTTAGTTCATGAACTGATTTGTGAATTTTAAAGTCCTTTTTTTTAAGAATATATATATAAATATATATATACAGGTAGATAGATAGTTAGCTAGAGAGATACATATAAAATACAATATAACACATAACACCAAAAAAAAAAAAAAAAGAAAGAAAGAAAGAATAGTTAGCTAGAGAGATACATATAATACAAATACAATATAACACATAACACAAAAAAAAGAAAGAAAGAATAGTTAGCTAGAGAGATACATATAATACAAATACAATATAACACATAACACAAAAAGAAGAAAGAAAGAATAGTTAGCTAGAGAGATACATATAATACAAATACAATATAACACATAACACCCCCCCCAAAAAAAAAAAAAAAAAGATAAAAAAAACACCCATAAATGCATTAAAAACATGAACAATGAACAACCTCCACGCCCTTCCCCCGCCCACACAGGCCCCGACGGAGGTGCGGTGGTCCGAGGCGACGGTGGAGGTGAACCTGACATCCGCCGACGCCCACCCAGACGCCCACGAAGGGATCAGAGGAACCGCCCGCAGTATCCTTACCGTCACCATGGACACCAG